AAATTAAATACTCCATGACTCGATCAAGAATTAGATGGGATTTTATTTATATTAGATTGTTTTTGTCTTTTGGCAACTCAGTTGTTTTAAACTTACAAAACATATATACACACACACATATATATATATATATATACTGTGTGAATTTTTTCTTATTCTTTTTATGCTAATCAGTTTGTTAATTAACGTGACTGATAATATTAATTGGGTCAAACAAGACTTCGAAATTCATATAAAAAAGACCTTTTGAGTTTTGAATCATGTGATTTAAATGTCTATATTATATATTATTTTTTTAACTCGTGATATAACTGAGATTTTGAAATTTAAAATTTTAAACTTTAATTATATATTCGACCATGCATAAAAGCTTTAAGTTTAAAAAAAATATATTCATATGTTTAAAAATTATATTAAAAAATACTATAAATCACAATAATTAACCATTTAAAAGAAATTCTTAAAAAAAAAAAAAAACTAATCAACTCTAAAATTATAACTTTGTCGCATAATTAATTAGGACATAGAAGCTAAGCAAGAGTTTAAGTTACACATTGTTGTTAATAGTATAAAAAAATTACATTCTTAGGTAAATTAAAAGAATATCTACATTTTTTTCTTTTAAACGTGAGATTCTTAATTTTAAAAATAAGATGGATTATCTATTATATTAATAAAATTGACGGATAACTGACTATCACTAAATGTGAGACTAAGATCAGTACATATTGTATGATTCAAAATCACCCCATAGGACAGTTGCAAGTTAGTGTCTTCTCTCCAACAACTATTTCAATCAATGTTAAGTCTAAATACGCTCGTAGTTGTGCTACTTATTAATTAAAAGATCAATCAAAAAATAAGAAATACAATATAACAACTGTAAATAAATATTACTTCCCTTCCCTTTTCGACTTTAGTTGACTTGTAAAACATTGTTATGTCTTATTCCCGCCTCCGCCAACTATTGGGGATAAAATGTCAACAAGAAGAAAAGCTACTAATTATGCTAATCAACGTGAGTTGTGATACACTGGTGGAATTGCTTCACCCTTAATCAGAGGTCTCGAATTTGAGTTCTAACTATGGAGAAAATTTTGTTGGAAGAGTCATCCCTGAATGAGCCCTGCAGTGCGCGATTTAGATTTAGTCGGGGGCTTCAATGTGGGCTCCAGACACTAACACTGAATGGAAAATAAAAAAAAATAAAAAAACTAATCAAGCTAAGACTAGAAGGGACAAATTTACATGTGCTTCGTCTCCTTTCTTTGAGATCGAGGCTCCAAAAGACGGCTCTATTTTACTAGGAAGGCACGATATTCATTAGTAAGCGTGGGTGACTAATAATTTCAAATATCTCTGCTTTGCTATTATAGGTTATACTTGTCATTGATTTTTATCATCCAATTGAATTACTTGATTCTTGAGTGTTTTCTTAACGACAATATTGCTGACAGAGTATATATAACTTGAACTCAATAAGACTAATGATGTGAAGTTGAAACGGTGGAAATACTATTTTTAAATTGTTATTTTCTTCAACCTTTTTTTTAGGGATAATACTTAATTGTGTCTTAACTTGACTTCGTTTCACATTTATGCCTTCCAACTTTGGGTGTGCACAAGTATGCACTTAAACTTGTATAAAGTTGAATAAGTAAACACATGAGTCCTACATGGCATACTACACGTAGAACACCATGTAGGATGTAAATTGTCACATAAGATGTAGCGTAGGAAATGTGTGTCTTCTTGTTCCACTTTATATAAATTTAAGTGTCTACTTGTACACAATAAAAAAATCAAAAAATATAAATATAAGTTGGGACCAAATTAAAAAACGTATTTACCTTAGCACGCTCTTCATTACCAACCTAAATGGCTGGCTAATATAATAGCAACGGAGCAAGTACTTTTTCCTTTTGGCTTTTAATTTGTACACACACATGTTTTCTAAGGGTTGGCTTGACTTTGACTAAAAGGGGAAATAAATTCAACATATCAACAAGAAAATAAATTTAGTACTAAGATATTTTTTAATGAAGCTTACATTCATCAACTATAAATTATATATAAATATAAGCTGTAATCCCCATCTCAGCCTCTTAAATTTGCATTCTAATAAGTACTATAATTATTCCTTCTCTTCATTTATTTCTCCATACAAATTTAATTAAATTTTTGCTTCGTCTTCTTTCAATTAATTAGTTTAGTTTACTTTACTTAATTAATACATTTGATTTGAAGAAACAATTAAGGCTATATATATATGGAATTCACTTTGCTTGATACTTGCTTGGATTTGAGTTTGAATTCTACAACATCTCTTGATGAACTACCAATTGTATGTCCAAACTTTTCAATATATCCATCTATGAATTTCTACACTACTATATGCTCTAATTAATATCTTCCTTCACTTTTTTTGCTTTCAGAAACAACAAGAAGTAATTGGATTGGGAGGAGGCATACCATCAAATGATGAGGTTTGTAAATCTTCGTTTTAGTGTGCTCTTTAACATGGCATCAACATAAATGTGCTCTTTAACATGGCATTAACTGACATTCATGCCCTTTAGCTTTGGGTGTACGAAAATTGACACTTAAACTATTTAAAAGTTAAGCAAGTAGACACACACATCTTATATATGTGGCATAACACACGTAGGATGCCACATAGGACATATGTGTCTACTTATTCAACTTTTGGATATATAGTTTAGGTGCCTACAAGCACACCTGCAGTTGGAAGACATATAATGTCACTCAATGTCAAGTTAAAGGACACATTTATGTATTATGTCTTTTTTTATACCATCAAACTTATATAATTAATTAACTAACTAAATCTATTGATCTAAATGTGTGTGTTTAGGCTGCAAGTGATCATTTGGCAAAGGAAGTAAAGAGATTGAGTGGTGAAAACACGAAGCTACGAGAAGTGCTGAGTGTTATGTATGACAACTATAATACTTTGAGAAAACAATACATGAACAATTGTAGTACTAGTGGAACCTCAAGAAAACGAAAAGCTGAAAAAATCACCTCTAGAGTAAATTCGGAACTAAGTGATGAAGACTCTTCGTGCAACAAATCGAGAGTACTAGTACATCATCACCACATTCAAAGATCTGACCATACAACTCTCGTAAGATGAATTTGCATTATCACGTTACCTAAAAGATAACTGTCCATGTAATATGTCACTAGCTATCCCGAAAATAAAACAGATATCTCGTTAGGTACAATCAGTTAACTTACACCAATAGCAACAAAAAGATGTAGTATATTAATCAAGTTAAATCCAATTCGAACTTAATTTACACATTCCCTTTAAAGTAATTTTTTTTTGTATATCATGTATATATGCTAATGTATATAAGACATAATGCAGCTAGTGAAGGATGGATACGAGTGGCGTAAATACGGTCAGAAAATAACGAGAGACAACCCGTATCCGAGAGCGTACTTCAAGTGTTCATTTGCTCCTACTTGCCCCGTTAAGAAAAAGGTAAGAACTCTAAATAAAACGTATCAAGTTTAGAGGGGTCTTTAGGTATTCAGATGTGTCTTTCCTAATATGTATGTTGATCGCGTAGGTACAATTATATAAACGTTGTGTCTAATTAGTCAAAATAGTTGTTACAAGTTTTAACTTATAAGTACACATTTTTGTAGGTGCAAAGAAGTGTTGATGATAAGTCCATTATAGTAGCAACATATGAAGGACAACATAACCATTCAAAAGTAGTACTAGAGGCTGGTGAGGGCTCTAGTACTACTACAATTGGTCATAGTCACAAGCAGCCAGAGTTTAACAAGTTGTTGATAGATCAAATGGCGTCATCCTTAACCAGAGATCCCAAATTTAAAGCTGCCCTTGCTGCTGCCCTTCGCGAAAAAACTATCCTTACACATAAATAGAGGGTAGTTACGTTGGCTACACAATTATTCAATATTAAGAAGGGTTGACTCGAGAGAAGACAATGTAACCAACTATTCGTACAATGTTAGAGTGGGTTTAAAGTCTCACATTAGTTGAGGAATGGACTAATGGTCTACTTATATGGACTTGGACAATCTTCCCCTCATGAACTAGTCTTTGGGGTTGAGTTAGGCTTACATGTCATATCAGATAAAAGCAGAGAGTATGTGTTTGGAAGGTTAAATTGGACTAGGAGGCTCAAGTGAGAATGGGATATATTAAATTGACTTATTTTCAAAGTGCAGCCAAATTTTGAATTCCCTTTTTGTATGCTATGAAATGCAAGTTCATGATGTGACAACATTTTTCTTAATATACATAGCCTTCATTTCTGCTTTCTTTTAAGTATTAAAATCATCTAGTGTCAATGGTATCCTTCTATTATTACTACTTAATTCGTATGTGAGTGCTTGAAGTTTTAATTATTGTCCCAAATTGATGGTTTACTATATACTATTTTCAAGTAAAGATGTAAATATATACATGTTTTATATTGATTTTTTTTTTTATTATTATTATTGATGAAGTGGGGTCTCAGCCACTAAGTTTAGTACTAATACAGAGTATGCCAGAAACCATACTAGGAAACCTTATTAGTCAACCACCATACAATGACCTCACTAATCCTTTGTTCTTTTTCATCAAACTAATACATTTTACTTCCTGTTTAAAAAAAATAACTTAGTTCGACTTGACATAAAGTTTAAGAAAATAAAGAAGACATTTCAATATTGTGGTTCTAAATTAAAGTTATGTCAAATATACTATCAAAATATCCTTTAATCTTGTGGTCTTAAACATACCACGTGGAAAGCTGAAATTAAAGTGTTACCAAAAAAAAATTGTCATTTTTGTTAAACAGATTAAAAAAAAATAGATCATTCTTTTTGAAACCGCAAGACTCCTGTTTTAAAAGCTTGGACACAATGCTTAAATAAGTCTCAGAGTGCTAAAAAAAGAAGAAGATCGATAACAAGACAAATGGAGTGCCTATTAAATGGACATGAATTAAAGAAAAAATAACAGTAGATATATTTCAAACTGAAAACAAATTTCGAAGTAACAATTACACAATAGTACTAGTGACTTAAACAAACAATTTCAAAATCCAACTACTTAACATTTTTAGCCGAAACTCATTAAATCCTGCAACATACATATGGTCATTGATAATCCAACGAACACCAATATCGACCCAAAATTACCACGAAATGTCACCGGAGCAGCAGATTTTTCGGAAGAATGCACCGCGGAGACGACGTCTGACCTAGGAGGAGGTGAAATAGAGTGAACAAGAACAGATACCTTCATGCCATTAGAGCATCCACCAATGCCACAAATGAAGTAGTACCTCTTGGACTTGTCAAGTAAAATGAAGTCTTTTCCACTACTCCAATTCCCTAGTGCACCTTCTATTGTGCAATTATTGTATCCTACTTTGTCCACTTGTAACACATTGTGTTGTGCCTTTTGATACCTAAATGCTGCCACCAAATGCATTTGTAAATCATCTCATTAATGATAAAATGAGAAGCTTACTTCTAAATAAGAAAGTATGCCATTTTCTTGGATTGAGACAAATAGAGTAGTACTATTTCTTTAAATAAAAAAAGGGAAAATGCTCAAATATAAAATCAAACTTTGAGAAAAGGTTTATCTATGTTATCCATTAGAACTTTGGTTCATTTATATCATTTATGTGTTTGAAAAAGGCTCATCCATGTCATTTGTTAACTGAAAACAATTTCGATTGTGCAAAAAATAATTTTTACATGTAGTCAGTTAGTATAATTCGGTCATGTCATAATTAAATCATTTTTAAAGGTAAAAGGCTCAAATATGTCACCAAACTTTCAGAAAAAGCTCATTTATGCCATCCGTTAAAAGTTTGGCTAATATATGTCATTTTTTCAGTTAACAAATAATGACATGAATGAACTTTTTCTCAAACGCAAATGGCATAGATGAATCAAACTTTTAACAGATGACATAAATGTGTCTTTCCTCAAAGTTCGATCGCAAATTTAAGTCTTTTCCCAAAAAAAAACATACCATTACCTTCTAACTTGGGGAGTATTAAGTAGTGAGACGTTTAAGGAAAGATAAAAAGGTAATTTAGACCATCTAAAATTATAAGCATGCTATTAACTATCTAGGTAAAATTATAAAAGACAGATAATATGAACAGAACGTCGTACAAATAAAGTCACCAACGTAGAAGGTTTGGTTGTTGCTCCAAATGGTGTAGTTGATGCCGGGATTCCAACCTTTGTTGGCTCCGACAATGTGATCAGTGGCGGAGACGGTCGTGGCAACGATGGTGGTGGTGACGATAAGGAAGAATACATGAAGAGCCATGTAATTGACCAGAGCTAAGTCCTGTTTTTAATTTGCTACTACTTATTAACCTTAAAAATAAAGGCTAGATGGCAACCTTTATATAAAGGAATCCAAAGGTAAAAAGTTGGATAAACCATCATTATAGATTGTACATATTTATTAGGTAACAATTATCATTCACTTTTACATACACCTCCTATCTATGGTGTACAATTTTTTTTCTTTCTTTTTACGTTAGCCAAAAGTTTTATGGTATAACGGTGGCTAACAAATTTCATAATGGAAGATACTATTGTTAGTTAAATTCATTCTTTTATGTCGTTATTTGGTAGGTGAATAAGAAATAAGTTCTTTATATATTAAGTTTTGTATAACTTATATGATGTTTGGTAGGTAGATAGGAAATAAGTTATTTATATTAAAATTAATATGATGTTAGGTTGACAATTTAGAAACGCGCATAACTAAAACATGTATAAGTTATGAGAGAATCTATGTATTAGTTTATGCATGATAGAAAGTGAAATAACTAATACATATATAACTAACACATAAATAACTAATTAATATCTGCATAAAATAATACATAGATTCATCCATAACTGATTTTTATATTACTAATACATGCATAACTCTAACCAACTACCCAATTTGTTTGAGCAGACACAATTTTAGAGAAAAAAAAGTCTAAATAGAGAGGATCCAAGATATTAATATTGAATTAAAAGAAATATGAATATTGTTGCACGCACTAACGATTTATTTGTTTCCAGAAAAGAATTTTATTAGTAGATGCAGAGTATGCATGGTTGAGTCCTACTCATTCACAATATTGTGCATCACTTATTGCAAGTATGTACGTACATTATTATTGTATAAAGTTCATTAACCATATGTAGTATATTACTTTATAAGTATGTACGTGCATCCACTGCTCATGATTGATGATAGCCATGTATACACCGTGAGTTTAAAGCAAAGTCCATTTTAATACTGAAACGGAGTGGAGTAGTAAGTATTCATCCATCCTTAACTTGAGCTTGAATCTAATATTATAGCATGTTGTGAAAGAAGCACACTAGATGGGCCTAAAGCACAATTTAGTGTAGATATCACGACCGTAACCCGAGCAATTATTTCTGTGTGCCAATCGCTAGAGCATCTAGAGCTAGAGAAGCCTAGCCTGATCTGAGAAGTGCTAATTCAGTTCGGTTAGACTTCATTCAAAAATGCCACGGCCCCAAAGTAGGACTTTGTGATGCTAATTCGGATTACTATGGGGACAGATATTAGACATCATGTGGAGAGACAACAACAAAATAAGATGAGAAAATCGAGTATGTAGCAGCACGCCTCATGTGTAAAGAAAACCACGCCTCAATCACCTTGCCTCCTAAAGTAAATGGTCTACTCTATTACTACTACTCAAAACTCACCAATTTTATTTTCATGATGACACTAAAAGTAGCAGACCAAATTAAATCTAATTAATCCTACCACTAGGCACGTAATCTTTATTAGTAACAATCCCTTCTCATTGTACGAGAATTTTGTCACACACATATAATGATGTTTTGTCTACAAATAGACCTGTATCCAAGAATATGGGACAACTACAATTCCAGAATAGGGATGATCTAGTCTTTATAGGATGATTTAACTATTCACTAAAGAGTAAAGCTTATAAGAAAAACGAATTTAGTCCTACAAAACAATTCAATCAGATGAATCAGTTAGTAGATGTAAGAAGCCTATGTGCTAGTTAGATTTGACATGACCAAATTACAATCTCCATACCAAAAGAGTTCGTAGTTAATTGGAACAAAAGACACAACTCACTTCCCAGTACAAAAGTTATTGTAAAAACAGCATGATATCTTACTGTGCATTGGCGTTCTCCGTAGAGCAAACAATCAAAATCCACATTTAAGTATTTCAACTAATGGTTCTTCTCTCTACAACAGGGAAAATACTACACTCATCAATTCCACTAAACTGAAAACATTTTTGTCCCGTGTACATTATTGGCCTATTTGAACCTATACAGAACAGATCTTCAGATATTATCTAAAACGCTACCCTTTTATCTATCAAAACTTCAAAAGCTTACAGCGACAGCATGACTCTTCCTGTATAGGAGATGATAAGTGTTGCCATTGGTTTCAGGATTTTTTAGCTGCATTATCATTATAGTGAGATCCTACTATGGCATATCGTTAGATGTTACTGTGCTTCCGTTACACTCAGAATATTGATTAGAGGCCAGTGGTTGCTCCTTGATCACTGTGGAGATCGTGGAAGGTTTCTTGAATTGTACCAAGATCATGGTCATGTTGTCGCATCCTTCTCCACCCGTGGCTGGGGCCAAACATTTATCCATCACTGTCTCACAAACAGTCGAGAGCCTTTTTTCCTGCACAAATAGTGACACCATTGATTTTTACAAACTGAAAAGAATGATTTTAACAGCGAACAAAGTAATTAAAGACTCACATGTTTTAACTGTTTCCCGACAAAGTCCACGACTTCTTGGCTTGACATGCAATCCCTAATGCACAAGAAATACATATATGAAATTCTAGTGTTATGATATAAGTAATAACAAAAAAAGGGGGTGCAAACAGGCCTCGAAAAGGTACTCACATCTAACGTAAACTGAAGACCTAAGTACAAGAAAATAACCATGTGGCAGAGAGTTTCTAACTACACTGAAAAGATGCAAGTTCCACCTTCCCTGGTTGACTCCATCATTTTTCCTCTTTTGGTATGGAAACAACCATTTAACTTCAAAAAGACCAATAAAAACCCATACCAATATTTTTCCTCGTGGATCTTGTCAACCTACTAGCAAACAGTATGCAAATTCAAGTACTCTAATCCCAGCAATCTAACAACTCTTGAAGAAACATAAGCTGGTATTCCCCTAAAAATCATCGACTGATGGTTTCAAATACAGTTGACCAAACTGGGAAGATAAAATTAAATGATACAATATTCTTACCATATGCCATCACAAGCTAGAACAAGGAAATCATCATCATTGCAAAGCTCAACCTGGTTTGAGAAAAATTCGAAAAAAAAATGTTAAATACACAAATCATATCCTCAGCTAGAAAGGAACACATAAATTCTCAATTCTGATCAGTTAATAATTTAAGAAAAGCAATAATGCTCCAAAAAAAGACATTTCTTTAGAAACGACCTTTCAACTCACTGTACACACAAAATATACTGTAGAAAATCTTCCTCCACACATTACATATTTATACAGATTCGTAAGCCATTGAATTTACTTACAGTGCAGATATCAGGATTAGCAGTCACTATTTGTTTTTCAGCAGGCAATGATTTGTTCTGTTTCAGCTCCATGTCTCCTGAAATTATCAAATTGGTCAGACCGGGAATAACACAAGCGGAAAAAGGAAACTCGCTATTTATTGTATATTTGAGAAAATGCAATATTTTTCAAATACCGATTGCTCTTGACATGTTTAAAGTCCCGTTGACCCGTCCACACCGAACATATCCACCAGCATTTCTAATCCTTTCCTTTTCAGGTTGAAGGTCAGGCTTATGGTCCCTAGACATATCATATGCCTGCATAACATTTTTTGTTCTTAATACAACTGTGCCTACTTAGAAGAAAGACATGCATCATGTACAATGATGCAAAATCACTTTAACATTCCCAGACCACAACATTTTGATGAAAGAAAATTTTCCTCTTGGATACGAAGACACACCAAAGACCTGCAAATTGCTGGGAATTAAATATCTTGGGGCAGAAAAAGAGAATATGGAGTTTCTGCAAAACCTTGAGAAAGAAAGGTTTCATGCAGAAAGTTTTCTTCTGCAAAAGATCCCTCCTCTCCACGTCCAAAATTTGCAAGTGAGGTCAAGAATCTGGTATTCAGTCTAAAATTTGTGAGCAGGTCACCAAGGGGTCAGGGGAAGTTCTCACTTTCTTCTTCTCATAAATGAACCTTAAAATACTATAATGGAATGTTATGAGGGTTGAATGATTTCACAAACCTCATCAAAACCCTCCTACTCAAGCGGAAATTGATATATCTTTCCCTTCAAGAAACAAATTGAGGTTTGGTCTCCTAGTTGGCTGGGAAATTACTCTTTGGTAGATGGGCAGGTTATGTAACATTCAGCTCTGAGGGTATTATTATACTGTAGGATAGGGAATCTCGAGGGGAAATATAGCTCTCAAAGGTCTTCACTCCATCTCCATTTCTCTGTCTAATTTGATAGACAACTTCTCTTGGAACCTGACAGGAGTTTATGCTCCACAAAAAGACTGGCCCGGAATTTTCTATTGCTCGAGTTAGCGTCTGCCAGGGGCTTTTTGGAGGGACCTTGGGTTATTGGGGAATTTTAACACTACCAGGTACCGAGTGAAAAAAAAGCACAGTTGTACTTATAGGCGGGGGATGATTGATTTCTCCATCATCATAAAAGGCTTGATTCGATTGTCTCCTCCTTTATTTGGGGAAAGTTAAACTTGGACCAGAAACTTTTCTGGCACAGTGGTTTCAAAGATTGACAGATTTCTTTTCACTACCGAATGGAATGATCACTTCAGCACCATAAAACAATCAGTTCTTCCCTGTGTTTTCGAGACTGAAAACTGGGAAGCCCGGGTATTATTTGTAAATTGGATATTGAAAAAGCTTTTGACCATGTAAATTGGAACTTCTTACTGAATCTATTGAGCCGAATAGGTCTTGGTCCTAAATGGAACAATTGGATCAGGTTCTGTATCTCTTCTGTGAAGTTCATTTTATCTATGACACACCTCATGGTTTCCTTCTTACACAACGAGGATTAAGATAGGGAGATCCTCTCTCTCCTTTTTTATGATTTACAGGACTACTGAATTAAACTAGATTTCTGGTTTTCCGGCATATTTAGAGGTTAATATCTCACATATTCTGTATGCTGATGATACATTGCTTTTTGGCGATACCGTGGAGCACCAAATGATGATTCTACGGCTAATTTTTAATGCTTTCAAGGCCGTCTCTGATCTTCACATCAATTATTCAAAAAG